CTGCTAGTGAGAGAACCTGTTGTTAAAATATTTGAAATCCCACCACTGTGTACATACCTTTTAACTCTTCATTGAATAATCTAAAAACGTCTTCTTTGGGTCACTTGCATAATTTAATGTCTTTATCTTTTCGCTTATAGTTTATTTTTAATGTTTTTCTCTCTCCTGTACTTTTTTTAAATTATTTATGTCGACGCTCATTAACAAGTGCCCATTGGCGATATAATGTTAACTTTGGCAAGACAATTTAGCCCTCTGGTAAAATATTTCTTACACTCCCAAGTTTGTCAAAGCTGTTTTAGTGATTGAAATTATAGAATAATTTTAAAAATCATTAAACTTTCAAATATAAATTTTAAATCATAAATAATATATAATTAGCTAGAATATAAAAATAAAACCTAAATGCAATCTGTCTAGCACACAAGTCCAGCACAAAATAACAGATGTAGTATTTAGATGGTCTTATAGTCAAACCTGCTGCCCATACTCATCCAAACACCTCTCTGAGTTTCTTCAGATGTTCTTCCCATCTGGCTGTGTGGGTCAGAATGTCATACACTTAATGTTCCATGTTGGTGGTTTTGTGCAACATCTTCCTCATCATGTGGTTGAATGCTACTGCTGAGTTTATTAACCCAAACAGCATCCTCTTGAACTGGTAGCATTCATCTGGTGTCACAAAGGCTGTCTTCGCTATAGACTTTGTCCCAATCGGGATCTGGAAAAGAACTCGGTCACCATCTAGTTTCACCGTGATAGCCTCTGGGTTGTCCATAGGTTTGGAATCGAACTTTGTCATGAGGTTTATCTTCTGTAAATCAGAAGCAGTTTGAGTCAGCTGAATTTGAAGGCTCAATGATCCCAGCTTCTAACATTACCTCATTTTTTTGCTTGCTCTGGTCTCTCATTGCATAAGGCATCTAGTAGGGCTTCACATTGACTGGATCCCTGGTTGTAGTTTCGATCTTGTGTTGCACAGGGTCTGTCATTCCTAGTCAATCTGTGAAGACATCTGTGTACTGGCACAGTAGATCTTGTAGCTTCTTTTTTGCTTACCAATCAGTTCTTGACATCTTTGTGTACCTCTTGTCCATCCAGTTGTCTTAAGTTTAATAGGTCTACATTTTCTTTGACAAAATCACTGTCTTCAGGTTCTGCATCTATGATAGCCACACCTGCAATGTCCATCTGTGCTTCAATAACTGCACCCATTAGGTCTTCTTCCCATTCGAAGTACCACTTTGACAAATTAGCATGGTTGATCTGGGACTTCCCATCCACATTCACCTTATCATCCATTCTGTTGACCACTACTTGTACTCCAAAAAGTCCCTTCTACTGCTGGGTGAGTTTGTTGTTGTTTGTGGGTAGCAGAACTAAC